CAAAGGTTAAGGGAATTGTAATGGTAGTTTATTTCAACATAAATCAGTATTCCGATATACATCATGGCAGAGCATATACAATTGTTTTTTATGTGGGTTGTTTTAGTTATGTTTTCTAGTAAGAAGCCCTATTTCTAACCATAAAATCATAATTTTAGATCAACATTTTTCTTTAATATTTGTTAATTTAGGATCAAACAGATATACATCCATATTGGCTAGTTTATTAACATCAAAATGTTTTTAAAAAAATGAGGAGTTCATTTTGAATTGGTGAAAAGTGACAAAAAGTTGAATTAGGCGTTCAAATTGAAAGCAAACATAGAAGTAAAATGTCAGTTCAAAAAGAAAATATATTTCCTTACATGGAGTTGTAACCAGAGTTACTGTGCGAGACACAATATTTGCTAATCTGGATAATTATGAAAATGTCACAGTCACTAGTTTTGCTATTTTGAAAGACATAGTGGCATGTCATGTAGTCCTTGCAATCTCCCTCTAATAATGTTTGTCACAATTTTACTGAAAATAGAAATGACATAAAACAAAGAAAGCTGTTCAAGCACATGAAAATGTGGACATCGTTGTGAAGATGATAATGACAATGTCAACTCCAAGTATGTTTCTTTGCTGTGAATTTTTTGTGATTTTGGGAATCACAAAAAAATTTATTCCTTTAACAATAAAAGCCCTTGCTAAATTAAAAGCCATAAAGGTTTAAATATGTCTGTCAGTATTTCAGTTTTAATTTACTTATTTGTTTGTCTGGACGTTATCATCGTGAATAATTATATTATTTGAAATAATCGGTATTATCAACTCGGGACCGTTTTCAGGCCGCTGATATTTGGATGTGTTCTTTTAAAAATCGAGATACAATTTATGTAACTTGTAAATTCAAATTTTGTTAATATTATTTAGTGAATGCATACAGTGTAGAGCCATGAAGTGAAAACACATTCTTTATAGATTCAACTGTAACTTCTGGAAGAAAAAAAAAAGAAAAATTAATTAGTAAAAATACATTGACAGTCATTTCACTATAAACCCATATGTTAAATAAATGAAAATACAAAACAACCGAACATTCCTTCTGACTATACGACCTATGACTGCCATATTTAATCTTGTTTGGTGTAATATTTTGCCTCTTTTTTTTCCAATTTTTTCATTTGCTACAGATCTGGAAAAAATGGACTAAATATTCCATTTGCTACAAATCTCGGGGGGGAAAAGGGAAATAATTTTCCTATTTGCTACTGGTCTTGACAGAACACAAATTTACATAACCTAACCATAAATGACTTTTTGATTTGGTTCATATTGAATATCCAACTTTTGATCAACATTCTATAAACTTCATTCCAAATTTTCGACAAATGGACATGATTAATTAAATGTTTAGAAAAAATAAAAAATAAAATGTTACTTACCAGCAGACTTTTCCTTTGATTTGTACAATTTCAGTTTTCTCCCTTGCAAACCAAATACCACACCAACTTGTTTGACAAGTTCATTTAGCGTAATTGGGTATTCACCTTTAGGATTTTCTAATAAGACAGTGCCTTCAGTACCACCCTGGAATTGAACATCACACAACTCTATATTGACAAATCGGCAGACAGGACTTGGTCCACTACCGACAGAAGATGATTCCACATGGCCTCTGACAAGAGTTAGATTCACTTCAGCACCTTTCAACTGAAACAACAAATGAATATATACAAGTTATTGTTTATATGTGAATTGAGTGTAATAACTGCAATCATAGACTCTAGAAGAACTAAATATCCAACTGTGATAAACATCAA